AACTGCTTTTACAAAGCCACAAACATTTCTATTAGGCTGCTACAAGGCATAAATAGCCATGATGGCTACTGTTTGGCCAGAGATTGTTCAACTTCTGTATGTATTAATAAACCTAAAACATAGATAGATATCTTTTCCAAACTGCTGAACAGTTTGATTATTTCCCATGCCAGTGCCTTCTTTTTCCTTCGCCGACAGGCTCTTTTGGAGAGGGTATTGCTCATTCCTTTGTTAAGCAATTTATAATGGATTATCTTAGCATAATACTCCAGGTTATAACACCTCCCAGTCCAATGCTTATCTGGACCTCCCCAGACATTACAGCTCATATTACTTAACATCTTCCATGGTCAGACTACATTCTGTTTTGTTGAACACTGTTTTTAGGGGTGGGGGGGCAACCTCTGATAGTCAGGTATTTCCCTAATGTTTTTTCTCTTCCTCAAGAAACTGCTATTCATTCTTTCTGCTACTGGTGCTATCATTTATTCACTAGAAAAACCTACAGAAGTTGCTGATAGAAGCTTTAGAAGACAGTTGATAGCCCTTCAAATAACATCCTGACTACAAACAGTAGTTACGGTTATTTTAAAAGGAGCTACAACACTCATTATTATTCTTAGGTCTTATCCGTATGGTTCAGAAAAAAATTTTCATCTGCTTTTACACCTGCAAGGCTGCAAAGGCTGTGTATTCCCGTATTAGCACTGTCATCAAGTTACAGGCAACTGCTGCCCACTAGCACAGAGCAGATCTGTTCCTCGGGGGAACATGAGCTACTCAAATGTATTTGCCCAGGCAGCTGCAGTGACCACTCTCAAAGTCTGGATATCTATGTCCCCAAAAGAGTATTAAAAAAATCAACAAGTACATAGAAGGTTGGGGTTTTTCATTCATTAGAAAGAAGGATGATAGATTCTGTGTTGCAATATCAAGAGACTGTGGTAACTGAAGGCGGTTCTAGCTCAAATGTGGCGTGTTGAAAGAAAAATTTACTAATTATAAGTAAAAACTTTCCCGGACCAATAGACATTTTGCCATTAAGATGTATACTGGGAAAAAGTTAAATACCCTCTGACCTCAGTTCATTGAGAAACTTCAGCATTTTAAACAAACTGATTGTTCAACCACTTTGCAACTGACAAGCATTTCTCAACATACATTCCCTTCACTGTTAGCTGGATTACTTACATAGTCACATGCAAACTCATATCTGAGCTAAGCTAAAAACAATGTATATATGAACTGAAGAAAACATCCATACATTCTAATACTATAAATATTCCTTTTTTATACTATTATTCTAGTTGTCTATACAAAAAAGGTGGACAGGAGTGGAATTTTTATTTTTTTTTTAAATCCGTATCTGGTCCAATTGCCAGTGTGCTTAATCTCACAGAAAACAACTTTGCAATACATAAATCTGAGTCATAGCCACATACTAGTTGTGTTTATTGAAGTAAGATAAAACCATAACCTGGACTGATTTCAGTAACTTGACCCTGGAACTAAACCACAGTTCTTGCCTTATCATGATCTTCTATCTGTAGCGTATGGATACTGTTCTTGGCACTGTTTGCTGAATACAGCAATGTACTTATTAAAAGAAAATTGCACTTGCAGGGAGGCTTTGGGAGGAGAAATGTTGACTAATCATCATAATCTCTGTTCCTCCCAGTTTGCAGATAAATGAACACTATTTTTTTTATGTGGAAGTGTTACTAATACTTAAAATACACAATGAAGAGAAGGTCATAGCACATTCAGATTGACAAGTCTAGCCTGCCATGGTAGTCAGTTTTAAATTATAAGAAAAATATTATGTTTTGCTCTTGAGTTTGTGTCCAGTCACAATCAGCAATGCAGACAAACATTTACAGTATAATCACCTTCCTGTCACTCTATTATGTCTTATTTTATCACTTACATCTACTGAGGTAATATACAACACACTGTAAACTTTACACAAGGTCAGTGAGGACAAAAGACAGATTTCGGGATGATTAGCGACTCCACTATTTATCACCAAGGTTTATAAGCAGTGTCAATAGAAGCTACAGCGCAGCTTAAGCCTGCATGAAGCTTCATTTATTTCAGAAAGGCTTTTCATAGGTAAAAGAACATTGTTATACAGATTATAGAAGCCGGTCTCAGTGTTCTGTTACAACTCAATCCAAAAATAATAACTGCATGAAGTAGCTCTACAGGAAGCAGGACTCTTCTAGGAAAGTCTGCTAATGACACTGCACTGTTGCACTGATGAATGAGGCTATAAAATGCTTCATTTACTTTAGAGTTTTAAGCAGCAACTCGGAGGCAAAAAAAGATTTGCAAAAAAACCCAACTCAAGTAGTCTTTAAAAAAAATTACTAAAAATATTAAACATAATGTTGTTAGGATGATCCATAAATACTATGGTTGTCCAGATAGAAAGAGTGAAATTACTAAAAATAGCTAACATGAATTTGTCTAAAGCCAGCATTAAAATATTACAGCTGATAAAGAGAGAAACAGTAATCCCAACAAGTTTGCTTTCTGTGATCACTTCATATAGTAACAGCTGAATAAGCCATTATAAAAGATGACAATGGAAATATCACGTGTATTTGTATACATACATGTTTCGGCTCCAGTGAAATGACAAACTGTTGGGTAACAAAATGCCTTCTTTACAACAATTTTCAGATTATCTCAATTGCTCTAGCACAATAAAAAAGGATGCTGTTAAAATATTACAGACAAAACCAGCACTGTAGCTGGTATTGTAATCACAATGTTTACTCGTCTAGCTTATTTTCTGAACAATTCCTTCCTAACAGAGAAGATATTTATATTATGATTTTACTGGAATAATATGGCTTCCAGGGTTTGCTACTGTCAGGAAAGCGCTATGAAGACAGTAGAAACGAGTTTTTCATTTCCATTTGGCTGCCTCTGATCAGATGAATTTCCACTGATTACTTCACATAGGTGAACAGTAGGTACTTTAACAGAGGGATTAGCTTCAAGCTCTATTCTGCCCACTGGTATTATCTGGCCTGGAGATACCTGAACAGTAACATTATCCAGTCACCAGAACAATACATTAATCAAACCTTAAGAAACTGTTTCCTAAAGGTTCTTCTGTTGTTGCTGTTTAATATAATTGCTTCAGATAATTTAAACTTAGTGTACCAACAGTCAAAGGTAAAAAAAAATGAAGCTCTAATAAGACAAATAGTGTTCTTTGCCACGGTGCAAGCCTGAGGCAGCAAAAAGCTATGTAAACACAGCAAACTGAAAACTCCTACCAAGCTCCTTTCAACGTTGCTTGTGAGTACTAAAATTGTGAATCTAGCAAACTCCAAGAATAACAAACAAAATTCAATTCACCCTAAGAACTGATGAGAGACATTTCCTAGTCAGATAAGAACAATGATCCTTTGCCTATAAATGTATAAGCAACAACATGAGTATGCTTCTTCCAATTATCTGCAAATCTGTTGAAATAACAGCATCAAGTCTCTCTTTTGTCCAGCTACAAAAATAAAATATACAGGGATATTTTTCATTTTATATATAGCCCAGAAACTATAACAATACTGTACTAGCTCACTTTCCATCAAAGCAGAAGATCTTCCAACAAAGACCTTGTGTTGCATTCCTTGTGGTAGCAACATGGCTCGCCCTACTAGTAGTCTGTAGGTGCTATAACTCTTCAGTCTAACCAAGGCAAGAGAGTGGGGGATGGGGGGGCGGAAATTACCACAAGGCAAGCAGTAGTGAACCACACGTGCGAAGGGTTGTTGTAAATGCCGATAGCGTATTTTTACTACGTGGCAAGAGAGACACAAAGGTCTGTCTCACCTAGACATAATACGCCCTTCATGTCCTGGTACAGACAAATGCAGTTTAGGACAGAGCAGCTGAGACAGCAACTCTGCTAGTATACTGTAATCAGGTACTCACTTTTATACCTGCTCTCCTGGACTCCCTTTCACTGGCATTACCCTACCAAAGGGAGCATCTGCTTCCCTCTTTAGACAAATTTAAAAGGCTAACACCCTCTCAACAGAAGTAGTATTTATTTTTTTCAGGAAAGCCAAGCACAGGCAAGACTTGGGAGCACAGCTATCAACCTATGTACCAAGTTTCCCTAACTCTTCTGCTCTGCTCCCTTTTTGGGACTGCAAAGATCACTATTAGCAGGGCAGACTGAGGACCTTCCTATGGGTCAGGACAGCCAGTACCCATTCAGACTTGGTGGCAGAGCAAAATGCAGGACAATAGACCAGGCAGTATAAACAACAAGATTTATTCAGTGTACCAACCACATTCACAGCTGGGAACAGTAAAAGAACCAAGATGTACAGATGAAGGGGCCAGCAAAGCATTCTACCACCATGCGATGACTCAAATGCTTTGAGAAGAGTTGTACGGGTAGCAAATAGTCCATTCACTGAAGATAAAATTAATGACTTCAAATGGCATTTTAAAACATGAATTCATTTAAGCTGAAGGTACCAGGCAGGTCATCTCTGTGTGTCAAATCATAAGAGCTATTAAGGAGAGTAGGGAAGGACATTTTGAAATCATGACCAGTAGCAAACATAATAAATATTTTCATTCAGTTAATAACCAATAAAGTGCATATGGTAGAAATGCAGAGCAGATTCATACCAACCCAAGTAACTAGGCTTCGAGAGAAAACATCTGCCCAGTTTCATTGTTCTAAAGTACAGCCATTTAAAGTACAAAGCATTTACTATGAACATGGTAGACTACTCCCCTTTGGCAGAGAATTTGATTTTCTTCAACGTGTTTGAGTTACCACAGAAGAAAGTCTTCCTCTGAGTTTGTAAAAGACTACTGGACTTAAGATTGCCATTGATACAGGCTAGACATTGAATTTTGTTTTCTAAGACATTCAAATATCTAACACTGAAAAATTATGTTATGGCCAAGAGAGAAAAATATGGATTAAACAGCCCATAAATATTTTAAATAATTGCAATACCCACCTGCTACATTAAGCTTTTCAACTGCTCCTAAACTGGGAGCAGGAGTGGCTGTATTGTTGGTAGAATTTGCTCCTGTTCCATTAAGTACAAGATTTTCCACCTTGGACTCTAGCTTCCCAATGCGCTGCAAGATATTATCCAACAAGACAGCAAGTGTCTTCTTCAAATCTACAAATGAAAAGTTAAATTGTTTAATAATGCAATGCACGCTGTCAGACAGAATAAAAAAAGAGATATAAGGAGTTGAGTATATATATATAGAAACTTTCTCAGTGCAAAATCTTTGCCATTAGCAGTTCCATGCACTAACGTTCCCTACTTTGTTCAGCCTCTGATAGAAGCTTCCCTGGACGTGGAACTTGTCTTCCTGTGTATTTTATAAAGCACACTGCAACTCATATACATGCCCTATATTCAAGGTGAAGTGTGCGCCTTTATGGGTACACACATGGAAACAAAAAAAATACATGCTTTGTAATAGCTCAAGTAATAAGAAGCTGCTTAAATAATAACAAATCCAAACATAAATCCATACTCAAGCACTATGAGAGGAATAGTCTTAGATGCTCAGTCACCCAGAAACAAAAATCGCCTTCCCAAAAGGGATAGCTTTGAGCCAGTACAAAAACCTTCTCCTGCATCTCCACCACCACAACCAGGTTCTGCACTGGCAACAAAAATGTTAAGTTCATATACACATAACACCCACTTTCAAATGCAGTTTAACTTCTCCTAGGGAACTTGACCACTGTTTGACAGCAAGTCAACTTATTCCTCAGCGGGATTTGGAACAGGAAATGAATGTCACAGGCAGCAAGCTGCAGGGGGAACTTAGCTTAAGGATGTCCTGTACCCTCAGACCTAACTAGGGCACATATTAATGCTGTTACCCTTCAGTTACTGCAGACATATTGTTTGGGGTTTTCTGTTGTTTTTTTTTCTTCCTCAATTCACGTACCATCAAGCACCCTTACAAGATAATGGGACACTGATGATGGCTATATAGCAGATAGGGTTTTGTTTTAAGCCAACGCACACAGTTCTCTAGGGACCTCTACTTGCCTGGAGGACTTCAATCTAAATATTATTCTAGTACCACACTGTTTAACTTGTGTTGCTTTATAAGATAACAGTACCAGTATAGTTCAACATGCAATCGCAGATCAGTGGAAGTTACAGAATAAGGCCTGCTTGTTATTTAAGCAACAAAGGAATATAATTGTTAGCTATGTTTGGGATGATAATCTCAGGCTTACAGGCAAGTACCTTCACACAAACTGAAAAATTCTTTTTTTAGAGGAAAAATGTAACAGAAGCAAGACATGGAGAGAACCTCCCAGCAGGATATTTTCATTATCTGCACCAAAAAGTAAAGAGTGTTAAGATAACACCACAGAAAAAGGTGCAGCTGTTATCTGTTGTATCCTAGTCTTCATTCTTTGTCTAAGCTTACAAAAAACATCTATCCAATTTCTTCAGAGCTGAATATTACAGCAACTATAAAAGGAAATAAATTTAGATGACTAATTAGCCATTAACGTTCTAGATAGCCTGAAAACGCATAGGTAAGTAGGAAAGAAAGAAAGTTTAGAAAACACTAAACAAGTAAGGCATATGATGTGATCGTACCAGACTGAAAGGAGGCCACATCCAACCTGAAATTGGATTGTATTTTTATTTTTGTAATATTTTCTGGTAATATGCTTTGTTCTTTTCTGCATGCTTTGTCTCACACATGCATACAAATTTAACTCTGATGTTGTACAATATAGAAGAGAGTAAGCATTAAAACTTACTGCTGAACAAAGTAGTGAAACTCACAAAAAGTGTTCTCTACCCTGAGGCAAATATGATATCTTTAAGCTTAATTTAAGCTTATGCCAGATAAATAAACTTAAACCTTAAATAAATTGACTGAACAAAGAAGTGAAGTGGGAAAGAAAAAGAAATAAACATAGCAGGTCTCTATCAGTATGGAAGTTTTTCACAATGAATTTCTTAGATCACTGACACACAAACTGAAAAGCCTCCCAAGTTTCTCAAAAACACAGCACAGAAGTTGGGTTTTTTTAAAATGAAGTTCTAACAACCTGAGGCATACTAGATATAGCTACTAGACAGATGTAGTAAAATTAGCAGACAACTTCATTTTCAAGTGACTGGAAAAATAAAATTTGTCCCATTTCATACTTAAAAGTGAAGAATTTTTTCTCCATCTGTGCATAAATCCACAGTGCAAAGTATTGTCAAGTGAGCAGCATTATGAAGTAAAATGTTTGGACAACTTAGAAAAAACCTTAATCAGATTATCCTGTAATCTAGAGCACACACTTACCGTATGCTGTCACTGTCCCAACATAAGGCCCATCAACCACATTTTTATTTTCTTCGGCTAATGCTTTGATGTATCTTTTGCTGAGATCCAAAATTTGCTCACGCAGGACTGAACTGCTTTCGTGTTGCGTTTGCTGCTGAATAGTAAAATGCAGAAGCATCATTCCCCAAATGAAACCAAAAGTCACCAGAAAAAAGCCGAGTTTCTGAGAGGACAGCTTCCATGGAGAGAATGCCATGATTCCCAACAACTTCACACAGTTACTACAAAAGTTCCTAAAGCATGAAGCCAAACAGCAAGTTCATGGTCCAGGTACATAAATATCACAGAGCAGGACTCAGTCTTATTCCAGCTCCTTAGTCAACGTATATCCGTTTTTCAGTTCCATCCTGTTGCAAGAGAAAGGAAAAGAAGCATAGTTACCACAATATACTAAAAGTTTTTACTAGCCATCCTAGGTCTTTGCTCTAACTGGTACAGAACAGGAGTAGACAATATGCTTTCTTTGTAAATGTTTAATTTGTATGTATCAACATTGTAGTGTACTAGCCAGAGCACAAAGAAGCTGAGAAAAGCACTGCAAAGGGAACAAAGAGGGAGTGATGCGCCTGAGCAGGTGTAGAACACCTCTCAGTATCTGGATCAAATTCAATGCTTGAAGCGGATTCTAAGCTGAATTTCAAGGTAAGGCTGCTTTTACATATTTTTTTGTGTGAGTACACACAAAACTTTGTGATGTTGCCAGTGCAGCAATTTAAGACAATTCTCAACATAATTCAGTTCTCAGAAAACAAGTAATTTTAGCTGGCAGGGACACTGCTCGGAGTTCCTGGCAAGAGCTACGGCATATGGCTAGATAGGTGATCAGGAAATCAGACTCCCTCAGGGGTAAAGAGGAAAAAAGAAATCTACATTATTTAAGCCAATACACTCTCCTGGCTTACACTGCAAGCAGTCAGAAAGCTGGAATAATCTCCTCTTACTCCTGTGTGGCCTCTGCCATACAGTTACTCCTTATTCATAAAACAAAGTTTGCTCTTTGCAACTACATTCTAAACACATACTTCTGAATGCTATAACAGGTCTTTTATATCTAAACATAATATTCATGGAGCTTTTAACA